CTGCACATAGCAGGGGAGTTGAAACTAGATGATCGTTGTAGTCCTTTTCAACCCAAGCCATTCTATGACATATTAAAAGGTGATTAATTGTGGTTGGCAGTTCAGCAGAGTTGTCTTCTGGTTCCTTATAGAAGTAAGACAAGTTTAGAGTACTGTAAAATTACCTGAACTGATTTGTAAGCAGTATTAATTGCTTCATAAATTGGATTGGTCCTTTGACAGTGCTTGGTTGTGAAAGGGAAGGTATGGATTGCAGAACTGGAAGTGCTACTTAGCACTTAAAGTCCATCTTCTGGATTGGTTGAGGTAATTATAAATAAAAACTCTTGTGATTTCAGTAATTTTGCTTCTTGAGCTTAGTGAGTGCTGCGTGGACCATGCATTCTAAGTAATGTGTGACTGTGTCTTTGAGCAGAGAGGAACCTCATGAAGTTCAGTAAGAGCAAGTGTAGGGTCCTGCACTTTGAGAGGAATAACTGCGTGCATCAGTACAGGTTAGGGACTGACCTGCTGGAGAGGAGCTCTATGGAGAAGGACCTGGGTGTTCTGGTGGGCAACAGGTTGGCCATGAGCCAGCAGTGTGCCAAGAAGGCAAATGCTGTCTTGGGATGCATCAAGAAGAGTACAACCAGCACATTGAGGGAGGTTATTCTCCCCATCTCCTCTTCCCTGGGGAGACTACATCCAGAGTACTGTGTCCAGTTCTGGGCTCCTCAGTTCAAGAAAGATAAGGAACTTTGAGAGTTCAGTGGAGGACCACAAAGATTACTAAGAGCCTGGAGCATCTATCTTACATGGGAAGTCTGAGAGACCTGGGTCTGTTTAGGCTGAAGAAGAAAGTCTGAGAGGTGATCTCATCAATGCTTGTAAATACCTGAACTGCAGAATTCAAATAGATGATGCCAGGCTTTTTTCAGTGATGTGCAGCAACAGGACAAGGGGCAATGGACAAAAGCTGCAATACAGGAAAATCCATGCCAACAGAAAGAAGAACTTGTTTACCGTGAGAGTGACAGAGCAGTGGAACAGGCTGCCCAGAGAGATTGTGGAGTCTCCTTCTCTGGAGATATTCAAGACCTGGATGCTTTCCTGTGCAACCCGCTGTAGGGAACCTGCTTTAGCAGCAGGATTGATTCCAAGAGGATCTTGATTCCAAGAGGTCCCTTGCAACCTTTGTGATTCTATGGTTGCATAATGCTGGCCAGTACATATAGCCTGATATAAAGATTGTGTGTGTAGCACTGAATAAAACTGACACTGATATTTAAAAGCAAAATCACTTTTTGGTGAGTTGAGTGATGCTTTGCATGCTTTAGTAAAGTAGATGGAAAGTAACGTATACAGCTTTTACTATTGAAGAGTAAAGAATAGGAAATGGGGTAAATGGAATCTGTATATGATGTTTCATTATAAGTTCTATTAGGCCTGAATTTTGTTAAATGAAAAAAATGTTAAAAAAAAAAAAAAAGGTAAAGCAACTTGAGATGTTAACTTGTAGTGGTACAAGCCTTGTGGCTTCTTTAGACATCTGAGAGCCAAAGCTTGTATCTTTTCATGAGCGGGTGATCAGAGAATTGCAGTGGTTTGAAGGGACCTGAAGAGATAGAGTCTAACCTCCCTGCTAAAGCAGATACTATACAATAGGTTGCACGGGTAGGTGTCCTGGTAGGTCTTGAGTATCTCCATAGAGGGAAACTTCACAACTGCTCTGGGCAGCCTGTTCCAGTGTTCTGTCACCCTGACCATATAGAAGTTCTTCTGCATGTTTGTATGAAACTTACTATGTTCAAGTTCTTGGCTGTTGCTCCTTGTCCTATTGCTACATACCAGCAAGAAGAGCCTGGCCTCATCCATTTGTCTCCCACCTCCCCTTAGGTATTTAAAAACATTGATCGCACACTTTTTTCCCCAGGCTGAAGAGGCCCAGGTTATTCAGCCTTTTCTCGTATGGGAGGTGCTCTGGTTTCTTTATAATCTTTGTGGCCCTCCTTCTAGGAGTTCCCTGTCTTTTTTGAGGTGATGCTTGTAAAATCCTTGTGGTGTCCCAGTGTCTGAAAGAGCCAGCAATGTGCTGCTTTCCATGTGGAGAAAACATCTTTTAAAATAGCTGGTGTTGTGTTGGATCTACTTCAGAACAGATGTATAGTGAAAGTGTTGAATTTGGATAATTTCTGTGGTTGTTAATGTGCTCACTCTGGCCTGGGTAATCTGGTTGGAAATAAGAGCACAGATCTGTTGGATCATGGCTGGAGGGGGGGGCCACAAAAGTGGCATGTGGGATGGAACATTTCCCCTGTGAGGACAGACTGAGAGCTGGGGCTATTTAGCCTGAAGAAGAGAAGGCTCCAGAGAGAACTGAGTGTGGACTTCCAGTATCTAAAGGGAGGCTATAAGAAAGAAGGGGACAGACTCTTTAGTGAGGTCTGTTGTGATAGGACAAGGGGAAATGGTTTCAAACTAGAAGTTTGGATATAATAATCTTTTTATTTTATTTTTTTTTAACAATAAGGGTGATGAGGCACCAGCACAGGTTGCCTTGAGAGGTGGTAGATTTCCTGTCCCTAAAGACATCCAAGGTCAAGCTGGATGGGGCTCTGAGCACCCTGATCCAGATGTAGGTGTCCCTCTTCATTGCAGGGCAGTTGGACTAGATGGCCTTTAAGGATCCTGTCTAACTCAAACAATTGTATGACCATTAAAGGTACAACAATACAGCTTTTGTACAGGTGAATGTTAAATTTCTTTTGCTGGCGTGCATGGATGTCAGTAACTTTTTTCCTCTTTAATCAGATCACCCAGAAGACACGATGAGTGTTAAAGCTTTCAAGCTCGTCTCTGCAGTTGAGCAGGAGATGTTAATGGGAGACAAAAATCACATCAACATTGAATGCATTGAGTGTTGTGGAAAGAACCTCTATATTGGAACCAACGACTGCTTTATCTATCACTTTATGTTGGATGAGAAAGTATCAACATCTGGAAAAATAACTTTTGCAGCCACCAAGCAACTGCATAAATACCTGGGCTTCAAGAAGCCCGTGAGTGAGTTGAAAGCAGCCTCTGCACTCACCAGGCTTCTTGTGCTTTGTGATAACACAATAACGCTAGTTAATATGATGAACTTGGAACCTGTTCCCACAGGTGCTAGAATCAAAGGAGCTGTGACATTCACATTAAATGAGAATCCTGTGAGTGGGGACCCTTTCTGTGTTGAAGTCTGCATTATCTCAGTCAAGCGACGGACCATTCAAATGTTCATGGTGTTTGAAGACAGGGTCCAGATAGTGAAGGAAGTTGTTACCCCAGAGCAGCCCTGTGCTGTGGCTGTAGATGGTTATTACTTATGTCTTGCACTTACAACGCAGTATATAATTTTGAATTACAATACTGGCATCTCCCAGGATCTATTTCCCTACTGCAGCGATGAGAAACGGCCAATTGTGAAAAGAATAGGCAGACAAGAGTTCCTGTTGGCTGGTCCTGGAGGGCTAGGTAAGACTAAGCTTACTCTTTTTTTTCAGTTTTTGAACTTGTGAGTCAAAGCTTAAGTAACAGTATTTTACAGAATAATGGCACCTTTCTTCACAGGTCTGTGCTGGAATGCTGAGATAAAAGTTAAATGGTAAATTGTTGGTACTAAACGTTTTTATTGCTCTCCTGTCTTAATGCATAAAAATCTGGTTATTTAATCGTGTCAGTAGAAAGCTCCGTGTCTATATAGGCACCTAACAGGGTAAGTAATAGAAGACTAGCATACAGATGTATTTTACTACAACGCTAGAAAGAAATATTAGGGGAATTAAACTTCATCCTAAATCCTGCAGAAGTTAACTGTCAGAATTATAGATGATGTCACAGTAGTCAGTGGTAATATTTCTAATTATTTTTAGCACTAGTTTTCAGTTTTGCAAAAATAGAGCTAGGTCATGAGGAATAGCACTCTCCTCTAATGGATAACTTCAAGGATTAATGCTGCTGCAATTTGTCTAAACCAACAAACCCCGTGAGTTCAGTAATCTTGAGCTTTTTTTGGAAAAGCTGCAATATCCTGGAGTTGACAGACCAAAGGCACAATACTTGCATGCTGTTTGCCATATGACTCTATGTTTAGGAGATGCAGTTTGTATATCATTCCTAGCATATTAGGAATAGCATAATACAAATAGATCTCAAATAGTTAGGTGCTTCTTTTTTTATTTTTTATTTTAATAAATTCTGAAGAAAATCATGAGTGTAATAAATTGTTTATACTGAATTTGCAGTTTGTGACCAGGATGCAAAAGGTATATCAATTTACCAGTTTTTCCTGATAGAAGTGGAGATTAATTAGAATATCTCCTTATGCAAATTAAGGATGTTCTGCAATGTGCTTATTTTTTTCAGATTTGAGACTTTTTCTAAGCTATATTGGTTATACATCTATATTAGAATTATTTGCTGCTTTAGATGTGGACATAAATTTATGGACGTTAACCAATTTAGTAGTGCTGTGAAAGTTAAAATTTGTGAATTGACTGCAAGTATTCCTTTTTGGCATGTTTCTAAGGAGATCTCATTCTTTTTTTTTTTTTTTTTTTAAATGAATGAAACCAGATTCTGTTCAACTGCTTTGGCTTTAACTGTCTCCTTCTTTGTTTATTTTTAGAAGAATGGATATGTTTTCAAAAAATAGGAAAAATTGTTTTTAGTTAGACTTTTACGTTTATCTGTTTCCCTAGAAGGCAGCTATACAGTAAAACCCTTAGAGAAACCAATATTCATGTATAAGTAGATTGACCCGTGCTGAAAATATCAGATATGATATCTTAAGCAAATCTGCATCTCTAGAGATACTTTAAGTTTTGTTATTTCTCCATAGTACAGGCAAATCTTAAGCTCAGTCTTACTAAGACTGCTGCTTACTATATAGCTCTTCCTTATCAAATTCAGCTTCTGATCTTTCCTAATCATCTGTTTCCTGTTCTACTCCTCCTGTAGTTCAGTACAGTACCATCTACCTGGCTGTTCTTCTTCAGTAGAATTCTCAGTGAGTTTAGTCTTTTTTGAAGTTGAGAAAGTAGTTGAGCAACTTTATAATACAAACATTGTATATCTCAGCATTTAAGGTAAGCTACTGCTGTAAAGTGAATGGACTTGGAAAGGCTTGATATGAATCTTAAGTGCCAATTTTGTTTCACTTATGTACATCTTATCAATTAAGACATGTTCATTTGGCACTTGGTAGTGCATCTGTGTTGAATTCAGACTTGTTACTGAGGTGGAAACATTTTACACTGGTATATTTGGGTCTATAGAGTTTAAAGGGACTTGTCTACTAGGTTAACTTGATTTTGAGTTCAGACAAACTAAGAATTGGCAGTAAGCAACTGCTTGAAATCATCATTATCATAAAGTAAAATATATGAGTTTCTTTAACGTAACAGTCAAGCAAAGTGAAAATTAGAATTGTTCATGGTTGATCTATAAAATGAACTATTCAGTGCTTTGGTTCTACTAGCAGCTAGTGCATAGTTCGTTCTCTGAAAAGTAGTGGAACTTGATTGTTTTTTTTTTTCTTTTTGATACATCTTCATTCTGTCCAGTAATTAATACACACAGAATTGAAAATCAGTTATTTCTGATTATGCATGAAATTCTGCTTGATAAAATTGAGTTTTTCGGGAGCTGTTATTCTATACTTCTTTACTTAATAGTTTTCAACAAACATTTCTTACCTACTGACACAGAGTACACATTTCCACCACCAATTGATGTGACTATCCCTGGAATATTAGAGGTTTTGACACATTTTAAGGTGATGCTGGATCAGGACCTGGGCAGCTTGATCAAGCCATGTATGTTCCTGTTCATTGCAGGGGAGCTGGACTAGATTAAGGTCCCTTCCAACTCTAAGGGTTCTATGATTATATGAGTCTGATTTGAAACAAGGAGGTGATCTGTGACAGCCAGCGCAGCTTCACTAAGAGCAGTTCATGCCTAACTAATCTGGTGGTTTTCGATGATGGAGTGATGGCATCAGTAGACAAAGGAATAGCAACTGATATTATCTACCTAGACTTCTTTAAGGCCTTTGATATGGTTCCATAGGAGGTGGCAGCAGGGACAGATGACCTGGGAGAAATATGGAGACATAATCCATATGTGCGATGATGAGACTGCAAGCCAAAGTCCAATTGACATTGAATTTGGTTGACACCATGTAGGACAACAAAAAGAGCTTCTACAAGTATATTAATAGGAAAGGAAGGCTAAGGAATATGTGTGCCTACCACTGAATGGGGCAGGCAACCACATGCCAGAGGACACAGAGAAGAAAAAGTCTGAGGGGTTTAATTAATTGTGATTAATCAACATGGTTTTATGAAAGGATAATTGTCTGATCTGTCTGGTAGTCTTGGTGGATGGGGAGAGAGTAGTAATGTGACTTCAGCAGGGCTTTTGATGCTACCTCCCATAACATTCTTATAAGCAAACAGATGAAGTACAAGCTAGATACTGAGATGGGTTGAAATCTTGGCTCAAAGGGTTGCAGGCAGCAGCACAAAGCTCAGCTTCAGTTCAGTCACAAGCTGTGTATCTCAGTGGGCCAATAGTGAGGACAATTCTGATGCTAATGACATGGATGGTGGTATGCATTGCACCTACAGTAAGCTTGTATGTGATATGCAAATGAGAGCAGTAGCTGATACAAAGATGATTGCTGCATTTTATTTGAGGAGGGGCTGAGCAGCCTTAGGACTGTTCAATCTGAAGAAGAAAGAGCTTGCAAAGATGGTACCAAAATTAAAAAAAAAAAAAAACCAAAAAAAAACAACAAAAAAAAACCACTTCATTATGATGGTGGCTGAAGGATGGAACCTGAAAAGGGTGTGAGTCTGTTCTCAAAGATACCTAAAACCTGATTGGATTAGGTTTTGAGCAAGTGAGTTGAAGCTGATTTAGTGAGGAGGTTCCCTCCCAGTTTCATCTAATCAACTTCAGTGTATATTATAAATTTTATGTAATTAATTATAGCTTATTCTTTTTCCAGCATTAACTCTTCTCACTGGTGCATGGTTTGAACAGTTGTATGGTGATTGAGTAGCCTACAAATGGACAGATGCAGCCTATAACTTGCAACAAGCACGTGTGCTAAGCAGAATGATTCATAAAAGGTTATGCAATTCATTTTCTCGCAGTTGGTGATAGTGCATAAAGCATAGTAGTCAACAGCAACCAACATTCCCTGTTTTCACCCACTTGTAGTATTCCTTATGCTGTCAGCTTTTATGATAACCAAAAGTTTTCATGTTGTTTAAAAAAGGCAAGTAAATAATGATGCATTTTCTTACTGTACTTTTTTCCCAGATATTTTCACTAAAACTTTTTTTTAAAAACAAACAAAAACACTGCAGAGTCCATCAGACAAATATGGAAGTTGGTCCTTTGTTGAGTATAGAGGGTTGTATTGGATGTCCTCTGGTAGCCTTTAAACTTCTGTGGTTCTACAGAGTTGTAGATCTCGTAGTGCTAACAACAGTATTGTTGTGTTTTGAGTCACTTTTATAACTTTTTGGATAGCACATGCATTTCTCATATGAAATCAATCTGTGATTCTATCTATTTCATAAAGCACGTTACTGTACTTAACCAGGAACCATGGCCTTCCTGCTGTTGCCGTTATCCGTGGGTGAAAGTTTGATGAAGACTAGACATGACATTGTTCTACCTCAGAAGCCTCAGCTGTTGAGAGCTGAGGGCTGTAGACAGATAACGAGTTGGAAAAGTACTGTACTCTGCTCTCCTTGTCTTTTCACTTCCTTAAAGGTTTTTTTTTAAATGACCAATTAAAAGGGCTCTGTGATTTAAAAATAATCATAGTGAAAAAAAAGGTTTTTAATAATATCAAATAAATATTAACATTTTAACAATTTTTATTCCAAATATAATTATTTCTGACTTTGTTACTGATTTTTTTTTTTTCCTTCCCACCTTTTGAAATGTAATTGTAGTACAAGATGGCAAGGAGTCACAACTGCAAGGCATCAAAAATGAGTAGTGCAGTCAGCCTTGCATAAAATTTTGCTTCTGAAGCGTAAGAATATCCAAGTCAATTTGGATAGGATGCTGTGGCAAAGCAGTATTTTCTGCAGTGTGCTGTTTGAAAAAGTGATGTTGTTAGTGTAAAAGTAAATAACACTTGCTAATAGTCAGATGTGAAGTCATGACTGTGCAGCACCATTAGTCAAAGGAAAGGGTTGTTAATTTCAAAGCTGCTTTAAAGGATCCAGAACCTTAGTTTCTATACCATAGTCCTGTAAAAAACCTATAGTCATCTGTTTTATTCACTTTTTTGGGTCGGGAAGGAGAGGTGTTAGGTTTCCGTCTATTTGTTTCCTTCAGGGTGGCACAGCTACCCAGCTACCCTTACCTCACCCTTGCCTTGTTATTCTCTGTTTGGAAGAGCTGTTGTAAATTGAATAACATAATCTTTTAATCTCCTCTATCCTTTAGAACTCAGACTCATTCTACCAGCTGCCAAGTGGCTCATTCCTGCTGAAGAGCAATATTCATAGGCATATCTTTTTAGTGGAGTGAGTGTTCTGATATTAAGTGGTACGTGTTCATGTTTATAACAGAAATTTACATGATGCTCAGTTGTCAAAGAATTATTGAACAACATCTGCAAGTCTAGACTGGAATTTTCCATCAGTTAATAGTAGAAAAGTCTCAGTAGAATTGGTGAATACTAAGTACGAGAAATGGAAGCAAAGGCTTATGATCCAGAAGCAAGTCACACTTTTAAGGTAGGAGGAGGAAGGACAGAACAGATAGGAAGAAAGGACACTAGCAACAAAAAAATTAATATTAACTGAAAGTACTGGATTTAATATTATTGATTTGATGAGACAGCATAGGTACCATTGGAATATTAAAGATGTTTTTTATCTGTGCTTGGCTTATGTAAAGATATGCTTTATATGTTGTTTCTGAATATTTTTCTTAAGAGATATGAAAACTGACACTTTTCAGGAAGTGGCTTTTCTCTAGGAACTCTAATTTAATTCAGTGAAAATTTAGCCATGGCAAAGTGGAGAAGTGAAAAACTGCACAGGGACTGGCATTCTCTTTGGGTGTATGATGCTGCAAGGACCAAATATGCCTTTATTGTGGGATAGGTCGGGTTGTGCAGATCTGCAGCTCTTACTACAACAATATTGTTTGAATATCCAACCTCACTAAATATTTATGGTTTGGGATGAATTTGAACAACGTGTCATAATTAAAGATACTTTTATAGAAATAATTGGATTATATGTTAGTAGCTTTTTCAATATTTCTCTTTTCATTCTTTGTGGTATTTATTTCTGTGGGTGTTGGATAAAGAACAACTTCAAACTGAACAAGCCAACAGGTTTGTAAGAGCCAAGGAGGTGTGACATACTGCCACTGTGCCATCTGATGCTGCTTCTGTTCTTCTGAGACCTGTTATTCCTATACCTTATTATCAATACTGATGGGGGGAAATGCTCTTCAATTAGTGTGAGCCTCAGGCTTCTTTCTTTTTGTAGGCATGTTTGCAACTGTAGATGGCATTTCGCAGCGTGCTCCTGTGCACTGGTCGGAGAACGTGATTGGAGCAGCTTTGTGCTTTCCCTATGTGGTTGCTCTGGATGAGGATTTCATTACAGTGCACAGCATGTTGGACCAGCAGCAAAAGCAAACCCTGCCATTTAAAGAGGGTCATATTCTACAGGATTTTGAAGGTACTAGAGAACAGTTGGTTTTTCTTCTTTTTGTACCAGTAATTCTGGAACAGTCACCACTGTGAGCATAGTCACTTCATTTGTTGTTTTTTGAGGGGGTGTTTGTTTGTTTTAAACAAATATCTATCAAGTGTGTGGACTATTGTAACTTCTTGGCAAATATTTTTGTCATTTAGGTTCCTGCAGCCTGTGATAGGAAAAAATTGTCATCTAGAATTCAGTGCTTCCAACAATATGTTGAATGTACTTTAATCAAGTTAGTTGTTGGATAGGAGTGTGTGAGCCTAGAGTTTTTTCTTGTATCTTAATACTGTTTCTTTAAAAGAAACTAAGGATGTTACGAATCCATAATTGTGGGCTACAGATAGATGTCCACTTGTTCTCCTGGCAAAGTTTACGTATCTTACAATTGTTCTTTTGGATGCCTTTCTAAAACAGCTGATAAAGCTTCATAGAATTATAGAATGGCCAAGGTGAAAAGGACTTCAAAGTTTCAACCCCCCTGCCATGGGCAGGGTTCCCAAGCCTTCAGAAGTAGGTATTTCTTAACAAGTTGTTAAACACAAATACACATTTTTTTAATGATCTATCCTTCAATTACAGACCAGCTATGCAATATATTTCATACTTGTTTTGTTTTTGCTCTTTCCCTAGAGAGCTACAAACCCTAGTACTATGAATTGCATGTTACGTATCACTTTTTGTGTACAGCTGTACAATTTCCTAATGCAAGCCTGAGGAAAATAGGCTGGCTGTTAAAAGTCTGTTCTCTTGAACCTAATTTTAAAGTGATGACCTGTATGACTTAGTTCAACATAAGTGAAATATAATCAGCTTCATTTACTCAGAGCAGGACAAAATCTGCTATAAATAAGTTGTATAAGGAGTGCAGTTTAGTAGTGAACTGTGCTATCTGGGGAATACAGTAATAACAAAGATAAGTTTTAAAACTTTAACCCTGTTTAGATTCTTATATCATGAATGTTAAAGCCTATTTCTGAAATATTGCTATTTTTTTCTAAAAAGAGTGTAAAATCAATGTCTTTTTGTGTTCTCCAGGAAAAGTGATTGTTGCTACTAATAAGGGTGTGTATATCTTGGTACCACTGCCTTTGGAAAAGCAGATTCAGGATCTTCTAGCTAGCCACAGAGTGGAAGAAGCCCTTGTTCTAGCAAAAGGAGCTCGAAGGAATATTCCAAAAGAGAAATTTCAGGTCTGTCCTTACTTGAATTTTGATGGTAATGTAAATTTACAGGGGGACCATGTATTGCCAGTGGTCATATGATCACTGGGCAGGATGGGAGAGGAATTTGCATTGAAGAGGAATCTACTAATACCTTGTATTATTTCAACTTGGAGAAACAAATGTGCTACTGAGTTGATATGTGTTGTTAACAGCTGTGATGCTTGCAGCACTGAGTGTTGCTGTTCTGCTGGTTTTTGCTATTCTTTTTTTTCCCTTGTTTGTAACTTAAAACCAGAAAACTAGTGATAGGGAAGGAAACATTGCAGTGCTTACTGTAGCTCTCTGTTCACTTGTTAGATATTATTGCTGTTTAAAAAAAAAAAAGTATACTTTATTTCCATTCAGGGCTTTTTTTTATTGGGCATTCTCACTATACCTTAAACTCCATAGTATACAACTTTAAAAACTGTGGTAGGAAGTGTGTAACAAACACATCCTAATTCCAGACTTGGATTGGTATATAGCAGAATGGTTACGATTTCTGTGGAGTAAAAAAACCATCTCTGTAGCTCTTTATTTAGTGTTAGAGACTTGCACTTTGTTTCCTTCTTCCTCTGGTTTATGTTATAATACACATGCTTCTGAATTTACTCCTATCTCTGATCTGGAGTCTGAAATTTGGATAAAATAACGTGAAATCTCTTGTAATATAAGGAAATAATCAGTGTATTCTGGAGCAGTATTTTAGGAAGTGAACTTGAAACTATTCACCAAGTATGTGATTGGATGTTTGATGGTTTCTTTCTATTTGATCTGTAATCCACATGAAATCTATATGTGGAGCAGAAATTAATATTTTCTTTTTTTCTTTCTAGGTACTTTAGGGTATTACGCTGCCATCAAAATGGCATCTGTTGCATTACTTTCAGTTTGCTTAGAATACATTGAAATTGTGGTACCCGACTCTGGAAATTTTAAAACTGCAGTGGACCAAAATGAATTCAGTCTATCAGGAAATATTTTAATTTTTAAAACTTTGTAGTTTTGTTCATATCATAACATGTAAATGTTATTCGAGGCCCTTGGAAAGAAATCATTAAATGAAATGAAAATTCTAAGAGCTTTCACTTTGATCCATAATTCCTCTGTAGACTGAGTGGCTGGGAGATTTCACAATGCAAAAATTTTGGCAGAAGAGTGTTTCCATGTTTCCCCCCCTTTTAGGAAAGTACTTGAAAAGTACTGAAGTACTGGAAAGTATCTCAGCAAATTCAGAATTCAGCTTGCAGTTTGTTTTAATGTCTAACTTTTCCTTTGAAATCTAAAGAGGCAAACTAAATTCCTGCTATGAGGACAGAATACATGATTCTGTCTTCTGTGTATTTTGGCCTCTAATTTTCCAGGTATTTCCAGTTTACAAAATTTAGTGTGAGAGATTTCTTAATGTGTTGTTTTTTTTTTTTTTTTTTCCCCCACAGATTTAGCTGCAGCTCCTTGTATAACATTCATGATTAATTCCTCTGAGGTTTTCTTTCTTTTAGAGGTTTTCTACCTTTAGAATAAGTCACCTTCTATTTACTAGTGCCTTATGTGCACTTGTATGTATGCCTTACTTCCCCAAATTACTGTTTCCAAGAATATTAAGTTCTTTCTGACTTTGTGTTTTCAAGTGTATTCAATTTCCTTTTGTCAGTGATTTGGCTGAAAAGCAAAAAATTTACATTGTAAGCAAAACCTCTTGAAATTTTAAGTTCTAAATACAGACTGATGTTAACTACAGCTTGAATTGATGAAGTCTCTCATTGACTTGTTAAAATGGTTCAACTTAAATTCTTTGTTGACATGTTAGACCAATTTTTTGGAATGCATCAGTAGCTGGAGATGTGACGTGTTGAGCTTGCTTTCCAACGTGCCTCTAATAATTAATGCTGTCATTACAGTTTTGGTACAAACACATCAGTCATTCCTTTACTATAGTATCCCATAATATAAGCCTGACAGAATACATCCAAATCACACGCTTCACATGCATCTCTTGCATTGTTTCTTGGGCATTCTTTAATTGGTCAGATAATCTCTCTCTCTTCTAAGTCCTATCTAATAAATATCTTCAGGTATCTATTTTCCAAGCTTTACTGATTCTTGTATAGCAGATATTCAAGGCCTTAATTCACCATTTTATACTAGCAGGAGTAGGAAGATGAAAGTATTGAATTAAGATGCTTGATCCAGCAGCTATAATTTGTGCAGTTGTTTGATACAATTAGTATACTACCTTCATTTTCAGTAAGTTGTTTTATCTTTCCCAGTTTGGAATGGCTTTTGCCATTGCATATGTGACTTGAACTCAGTCAAGGGAGCTCTTGAGGACATAAGGTTTTTTCTAAAGTTCAATGCTGCGTTGTTGTTGCATGCATACACAGTTGCATACTTTCTCTATTTACATCCACGTAAATATATATGTATATATGTCAATAATGCAGAATGATATTTGGGTTGAAACAGTAAAGTACTGCATTCTCAGAATTATTTGTACAGCAAATGCTTAGTTTATGGCAAGGAGATCGTGCATTAGTAGCTCTAACATTATTTAACACATGCTCATGCAGACTGCATATTTCTGTTATATTACATGAAAATGTGAGCATCAAGAATTATCATTAAGTAAAAACTGCAAAGCAAGAGAGGTGCAAGGGAGATGGCTTCACTGGATATCATTTTTGGTAGAAGAATAGAAAGGCCTTTCTACCATGCTACCATGAAATGACTGAACACTACTTATTAATTTTTCAGGACAGCTGAAGTTTGCAGAAATCATGGTTGATGGTAGTGAAGACCTTGATTAGATTGACACACCTCTTGCATAGGTATCTCTTTTTTTGCCTCTCATTTCTCTCTAGTTTCAAAAAACTTGTTAACTGCATACAAACCTGATGAAAACTGAGGTGATTTTCTAGAAAAAATCTTTTTGGCAATCTTGTTGAGAATTCTGATAATCCTAGGAAGGCTTTTCCAAGCTGCTGGTAGAATTAAGGCTTTGCTATAGCTAATGTGGCTTCAGCAGTCAGCTTTGTTTACTAGTGCTTTTTCAGATACTAATTAATAGAATTCTTTATTCATGTTTCTGTAAGTAAACTTTTGTTCTTGCTATTTTTTCTAATATGAATTCAGTCAGCAGTATAGAATTTACCTAAGGCACTTCAAGTCCTGTAGTTGTTATGTTGGGGCAATAAGTATGTCTTGAATTCTGGCAGACTGTAACTTAATGCCTTATTAAATGTGCCAATTAACATGCCAATTACAATATTCTAGCACACGAATCTAGAAAGACTCAAGATCACTTCTGTATCATAAACAAAAATAAGCTGTAGTTGGCATGTAGATCTACCTTATTTTAAAAACCCTGCAAAATATTGTCATATTTTCCAGATCTATTGCTTCTGTAATCTTGAGGCGTTTTACTGTGTAATGCTTACCTTGATGGCTGAAAATCAACCAGAATACTCCATATCTTATCAGTGTTTATTTTAAAGCTGTAGAAGCATCTGCTTGGGGATGTCCACTGAAATTGGATAACAAAGGAATGAGTGAAGATACATTAGTGAAAGTGAATACCACTTAATCAGTTTTAAATTTAAAGCTGATTTCTTAGGCCTATACTTAAACTGTCAACAAGCTCTTGTAAAGATTGCTGTAAAGAGTAAGCCATACAATTAAGGCAGTGCCTTCAGTGTGTTGGATCAATGCGAACTTAACTCTAATATCCTAATTCCTAATGTGTAAATATTAGTGGTCCATTGACTGGAAAAATTGAAAATGGACTTCCAAAAACCCCTAACTTTAATGTTGGTTTTTCTAGCAGTTTGATCAGTGTTTGTCCTTTGGCCCTCCCTAGCAAGCCTGAGGTCAGATTTTGAAGACTTTCTGGTGCAATAGGATGTGGGTTGAAATCCTTCATCAGCCCCTATCTGCATCCTCAGGCAGTTACCAGACAGCTATTCATAAACTCACAGATTTCAATTCACTGGTATAATAACACAATTGTAAATCTAAGATATTTTAGGTTTTTTTGTGTATGCATTATCATCTGAGGTAGTTTTACTTTATTGCTCTAATTAAGTTCCCTTTTAGCATATCATTTGTCTGAGAAGATGTGCCAGATAACACGTCCCTTTGTTTACCCTTCTATCCCCAACACTGTGGAGGCAAGAGAATTCCCTACTCTACAAATCAATAGTTTGTAATGGTTTATTAATGATCAAGGATAAGTATTTCCTTAGGATAATCCATTAGTAAAGTATGCACAAACTAAATGGACTTAAGCCAAGAATTTTTCTTGGTACATCCACAGTCTTTAATCAAGATGAAAAATCAATGATTGGAATATCAGTCTACCCTGCTTGAAGTATGCCTGAATTGTGTGCTTGAATGTATTGGAATTTCTCTGGGTGTTCTCATTGAAAATGGAACTCTTATTCATAACAGCATTCATGTACTCTGCTTGATGTCAGAAAACTGCATATTCATGATAAAGTTGAAGGGTAAAGTTGAGAGCATGTGGAGGTGGCTAGCTGTATTCACAAAACACTTGTGCTGTCTCAAGTGATGGATACTTTGAAAGGAACCTCAACTGTGATTTGCAGTAATTTTCTTTTTCCCATTGGAAATATTTGAGCTACATTTAATCTAACGGTAACCAATTCACCATTCATATTTAAAAAAACAAAAAGTACCTTATTATACTTAAAGCAGATTTGTTCTTTTCCTAGTGATTTTTTTTCTTTGGTAAACTCTTCTTCTTTTTCTGTCTGGGCATGATCATAACAACAAAACTCTGTAACACGTTACTTTCCTTGTGCTTTTACTTGCGCTTTCCTTTTAAACCATATTTTATGTACATTTCGTGATGTATTCTGTATTTGATAAATTGAACTGCTTTAAAAGTATTTGTTTATTAAAAACAACAACAACAAAAATGTGTCAGAAAATCAGAAATATTGCTATCAGCTGGGAAAGAGGCTGTGAAAATCACCAGCAAGGAGGCAGGAGAAGTGTGGTCAGAAGAGGACAAAGTTGGCTGTGTGTGTTCAGCTGGGACCCTTGAGTTTGTCTTTTTTTTTTTTTTTTGTCTGGTGAATTACAAGAACTTTAAAGATAACCATTGGCCTCTTGTAAATTCCATGAACGAAAACTTGAGACAGGTCAGACTGGTGTTAGATGAGTCAGTGTTTGAATAAGAAAACTTGAATTCACTATTTGTTGATTTGTTTTCAGTAAGTTTTTGTGGATAGTATTGTTTACACACATCTGTGAATGTAACTCAGCCTGGGCAGCAGATTCAGAGTATATGTGGGTACATACAATTTAATATCATGATATTATTTTTGCATGCTACTTAATGGTTCTAGTTGAAAGCCATGTATTCAGTGTTTTTATGATGTACTTGTTACAGCTCTGACTAGCATTATATGAATAACTCCTTAGAAATATAATAGTTTTTCTCCCCTTCTCTTTTATAGGTAATGTACAAACGAATCTTGCAGCAAGCAGGTTTTATACAGTTTGCACAGCTTCAGTTCCTTGAAGCAAAAGAACTCTTCAGGTAATTGTGTGACAAGAAATGTGGTAGCTTATCTTTAAATAAGGGGTTAGTGTAATTGGCTTTAAAAACACTTGGTCTCTTGAATATTTTTTGATGCAAATTTGAAATCACATGTGATAAAATGGCTTGCTTAGGGGAAAATCCAGAGTAAGATTGAAACAACTTTGAATTTCAAGAGTTAATGCAACTGTTTTTTGGTGTTTTTTTTGTATACTAATGTCCAGTAGTGTTAAAGTTTCTCTAATTCTATAATCTGATTCTGAATTCTCTAATTCTGTAATCTGTGTGTTCTACATAATAGGAAAAGAGTTGCTCTTGGGTTAATGGAAATGTTTCGAGGAAAGTGAAGCTTTGGGAGAAGTTACAACTAGAGAGGGAATTCTCCATTTTTGTCTCCAGTGTACTAGGATAATGGGAAACACTGGGCTTGAATGGGCCATGTACACAGAGTGGAAACTGGAGAATGACAGGAAAGACCTGAACAGCATTTGAGCAATTTGGTTTGGCCATGACCACTGTCTGTTTTACCTTGTAATTTTTGGCACTAGTGACCAACTTACAGTTTTCCTGCCTGTGATTTTCCAAACACTGGACTAAATCTTTGCTGTCTTGTGTATCTGAAGCAGAATTAAAAGGTCTATGAAGTAAAGAATCCTTTACAAAATTTCCACTAAGCTTTTCCACATGGATTTCCAATAGACTTCTTTTTACTGTGGCTGGCTGTGGTAAAATAGTTTGAGGTTGAACTAGCTGTAATGTTTATTCGTTGTCTAGGTGTGTTAGGTGGGTAGGATTCTATAGCAGTGCAGCTATCTTGACTATGGTTTGACCCTTCAACCTCAACTCTTTTATTCCTTTACCCAAAATTCCTGGCAGTTATTGCCTTCAGTCTATTCTGGGGGTCCTACCTTGCTAGCAGTGGTTTAAAGGTCTTTAAAAGTAATGAAAAAGAGGAAATGCATCCTGTTGAGAGCTCTGGCACCTTGTGGGTAGAAGGGAGATGGAACAGCCAAGTTCAGTTATGCAGCATCTATCCAGCTGGCAGTCCATCTGACAAGCAAGTTTCAATGAACAGTGTTGTGCAAGCTCCTTTATAGAAAAACTGTTACATGAGAAAACTTGCTGTCTGAGCAAGAATTTTGAAGCTGGGTCAGCATCCCAGGGTGTTCCCTTCCTCTCAAAGTTGCAACTCCAAAGTAGAACTGCATTTCATGAACTGATGAAGTGTATATCTGGGTATAATCTTGTTCATTCTAATGATAATCTAATAATAATTCTAATAATCTTATTGATATTTGTTGGAAAACTGAGAAAGATAATGACAATCTACACAAATACTCCCCTATCTGCATGTATTGCTCTGCAGGTGGTGTAAGTTAGTGTTAGTCAGAAATAATTCATTTTAAAATGCCAAAGGGCCACTTGGTATATCTCTGAGGAAAAGGTAATTTAGCAGTGAAACAGCAGCAGCAGAAACTTCAAGAAACTGGTGAGGTATGGATCCGCTGCTGCCCAAATTTGTAGCAAGATTGGCTCATTTCTCAGAAAACATCTATGAGTTACAGTTTAGACAGGAAATAATTACATTGGACTAAGTCTCATTTTCTCATATCAGTAATCCTTGGTTAATTTTGTCAAAATAGTTATCTGATTCTTAAAGTCATAGATCTTGGAGGTTGAAGCTTTTAAGAAGAATACTTTTCTACTACGTTCCTTTTGGTTGTGCTGATTTTTCCATGTACTGACTAATGCTGACAAAAAGGAAGGAAGTGGTAGCTAGATTTAAACTAATAGCTAACAGGGGGAGGGAAGATTTTCTTTTTTTAGCTGAAACTGTTAACCTTAAAATGAGCTGTCACAGTAGGACTTGTTTGGTTTGACAAACTGTTATTGCTAGCATCATATTATCCATTCTAACCTGCAAATTGTGCTTTTTTGTGTTGTTACCATTGGGGATTTACAAATACATAAAGCAAACAGCGTGTTTAGCAGGCTGTTGCTGAATTCATCATAACGGGTGAGGTCATCATAATGTGGATCTAAGAATTTCAAAACCAAATGCAACACCCAAAAAGAGGAATTAAAAGGAAACTTCAACTGCGAGAATCGGCAAAGTAGATGTGAACACTTCTTTTATTAGAGGCTGACCTTCCTAGGTAGAGATTGAGCTTTTTAGGCAGTAGTGTGTGAATCATTTCATTCAGGGCCAGGCTGGATGTGGCTCTGGGCAGCCTAATCTAGTGGTTGGTGACACTGCACATAATAGAGAGGTTGAAACTAGATGATCTTTGAGATCCTTTTCAACCCAGCCCATTCTATGGTTCTGTGATACTATAAAGCCTCTCTTTACAGGAAGGCTCCCTGTGTTCAAATTTTGCAGTTTTCTGTTACTGATGTTGCTGTTTCCATGCTTTGCAGTCTTTAGGCTCTGAAACAAGATGCTTGCTTACTGCTCTTAAATTCCTTGCTATTGCTGCTGTCTCCCAGAATTTTACTCTTCTGGTACAAATTCAGTAGCCTCTGGACATCCTTAAATCATATTTTTCAAGTTCTAAGTATTGTTAACAATGTGGTGCTTCTTACTGGTTTATGTTTTCTGAATGGCTTGAGGATTATTTCTTTGGCAAGAGGTGAACAACTTGGGGTACACCTTCAGCACTTTAATTACTTCAGAACAATAGATGAGAGGTTAACCCATTTCATAGACTCACTGAGCAGCAGAATGGTTGAGGTTGGAAGGGACCATTGGAGGTTCCTGCTCAAGTGAAGACCACTGAGAACAGATTGCCCAGATCTTTATGTGGAAAGATAATGATAGGACAAGGGGAAATGGTTTTAAACTGAAAGAAGGATGACTAATATTAGGTATTAGGGAGAAGATCTTTATTCATAGGGTGGTGAGGTGCTGGCACAGCTGCCCAGAGAAGCTGTGGTGCCCCATCCCTGGAGGTGCTCAAGGCCAGGTTGGATGGGGCTGGGCAGCAGAGCTGGTGGGGGGGCAGCCCTGCCCATGGCAGGGGTTGGGGCTGTGAGGTTCTTCCAACCTAAGTCATTCTGTAATTCTGTGATCATTCACAGTTATTGCCTACGGATTGAAAAGATGTTCCTGCTCCATTTAGTTCCATGGTCGTAACTAATTTCCTTTTAGAATTTTCCGATCAGTTTTGTGAATGGGAAAGTCTTTCTGAGGTTGATTGTTGGATAGATAAAAACATCTTAAGTTTTGTTTATGGGAAGGGAAAAAAAAAAAAAAAAAAGTAAACAGGATTTCTTTTGGAGAACTTGAAGTTCATTTTTAGTTTTTTCAACAACACATTTTTCAGGAAAGCTAGTCTCTAAAGATGAATTCTGAATAATGAATTGACAGAGAAACAAAATATAAGTCTTGATTCCTTGTTGTTCTTCTAAAGCAAAGCCCTGGATGTGGTATCATTCTAAGTGTGAAAATCAGATATTTGCCACATTTGGACCAAATTCCAATTTTATTATTTCATAAGATTGTCTTTTCCATTGCTTGAGGAGTTTCTTGGATGTGGTGGAGAAAAACTGTGTAGGGTAACATACTTGTGTTACAGTGTGCTACATTTGCACAGTCTTTGTGGCTTTCATGCAACCTTTCGCTATCTGTTGTTTGGTTGGTTTGTTTGTTTTTTGGCCTCATTCAGCTACCATTACGTATTGATGAAGTGTAGGACAGTCCCAGGAACTTATCCTAGTCAAGAGAGCTGTTCAGCTGATATTTTTGTTTTGTTTTTTTTTTCCCCCACTGTATGCCACCAAACTGCTGTAAGATGTCAAAAGCAAAAGACTGGACAGTCTCTGAATTCTCAGTAATCTAGTAGAGATTAAAAAAAAAAAAAAAAAGAAATATAGAAATATAAAAAATAAAATTCCAAATTTGTTCTGATGATACTTGTTTTGATGCAGAAGGCAATAGCTTTCAGAAACCAATGACCTGTTGGTGTCCTGCCTCTAAGCATATGTGCACTCATTCCCAGAATGTTATTTTTTTTGTGCCTATGTATACTTTTTCTTTCTTTTTGCTTCATCTAGTTTGACACTGTAATTGCAGAAGCGGCCAGCTTGATGTCCGGGAGCTGATCTCTCTGTACCCCTTCCTGTTGCCTACTTCCTCTTCATTTATACGGTCTCATCCTCCACTGCATGAGTATGCTGACCTAAACCAGCTGACCCAAGGGGACCAGGAGAAGATGATAAAATGCAAACGCTTTCTCATGAGTTACTTGAATGAAGTCCGCAGCACTGAGGTTGCAAATGGCTACAAGGAAGATATTGACACGGCTTTACTCAAGTTATATGCAGAGGCAAATCATGAAAGCCTGCTGGACCTGCTGGTTTCAGAGAACTTTTGTCTTCTAACAGATAGCGCTGCATGGCTGGAAAAGCACAAAAAGTGAGTGGATTTTTTGAGTATGGCACCCTTGAGACCAGTAAGAAAAATGCTTGACCTAAAAAGCTGTTGACTTCTAGAGTGATGTATTTCTGACTTAATGTACAAAAGCCAATTTGACTTGACTTGTAAAAATCCCCAAACTTGGGGAGAAAGGCCTTAATTGACAAGCAGAGATAAAGAAAAGATATCTAGTGGAATACGGAGTTTTCCCCTTGAAACTGTGTCCAAAGCAAAGATTAGTATTGGTATGGATCACAATGGGGAAAAAGCAGTTTATTTGCCCTTGTGATAGTGTTAGATAGAGAGCTGAATGGATGCAGCAGCAGCAGTAGTCCTAAATGTCTGGGACACAATGAAAAGTTGCCTCAAAACACGCTGTATCTTCGGTAGAAGCTATTAAGTAACTAGTAGCTTTTAAATTGTAGCTGTGTATTTGAGGCAAGAAGGAAAAGCTGCTTTTGAATTTTGAACTCAGTGTGCTCCTACTGATTTACTAAAGGGATACTGTTTAGGATCACAGAATCACAGAATGGCCCAGGTTGGAAGGGACCTCAAGGATCTGAATCTCCAACCCTTCCCCCCCCACCTGCCACAGGGTAGGGCTACCAACCTCCACAAAGGATTGAAAATTACTTCAATTTGGAAATGGCAATGGATAGAGAATTAATTGGGGGGAAAAAAATCATTCATAGATAGTCTTTGTCTTTGATTTCATTTCTTCAGTCTTTAAAGTGTATGGCGCAGTGGTAGCAAGTACAGTTGTGAAGAGCAATCTTTAATTGTGATTAGATTTAATGCAGGTGTTTTATTGAATGCTCTTGGCATGTCTGTTTTGCATGGCAAGCCTTTGCAGATGTGAAATGCATAACATAGTTTTGTGAGAAAAGTCGTTATAGAACTTGAGCTTCATTTATATTACAGTACACAAAAAACAATCTGTAATGGTACTGAATGAAGCTCTTTCTTACCTAACTTGATTTCTTGATTTCATGGTGCAGCGAAGAAAAATGTTTTTGATAGCAAAACAAAATTTTAAATAAAAGCAGCATATACATTTCATTTTAATTGCACTTGATTAGATATTAGCAGAATGCTTATTAGCTGTGTTAGGTCTGTACATGAAATTCAGAGAATAGCATAAGAATCATCTGTGATTTGACAAGTGCTTTGTAACCACTTAAACTAGAGTTAGTAGCTTATAACTGTTTTTAGAGAGAGGAAGGACATGGATGCTTTTCTAGAAAAAAATTTTTTTCCTTTGAATGTAGTCTTGGCCATGTGCATGTCACCTAGAAATCCTACTGTAAGCAACTATTTACTAGGTTCTGTGCTAATCAAACCAGTGAAAATGATAGGAAAAATCTATCAATTTTAATACTGTTTTCTATGTTCATACAGGTATTTTGCCCTTGGTCTCCTGTATCACTACAATGGTCAAGATGCTGCAGCACTTCAGGTTAGTATAAAGCTTTTAGTGTCAACTGTAAATCATTATAAAATCCTACCTGTCCTTCTGCTAGTTGTTCTCAGATGGTGAAAACCCACACATTATGGGGACTGAATTAGTTGAATCTGGCAGGTACAAGAAAAGCTGTGATGGAGAGGAAGTGTGGATTCAGTAACCAATGAGGTCCTTTACAATTAGTGTTTGTAGAAGCTTTTTTTAATTGCATGCATACCAATGACTAATTCTAAGTGTTGTTATAGCTTGTATACTTTTTGAGTCACAAGAATGTTTAAATACATCTTAATTTTTTTTTTTTTTTTTGGTCAGTTATGGGTGCAAATAGTTGATGGAGACATTGAAGACTCTACACGTTCAGATCTCTATGAATATGTGGTAGACTTCCTGACATTCTGCTCAGACCAGGATTTGGTGTGGAAATACTCCGAATGGGTTTTACAAAAAAATGAAGAGGTTTGTGATTGGTGTACTTGTTTTCTTCACATTTCTAAGATAATTTTCAGATCTTTATTTAAAAAAAAAAAAAAAACAACCTCATTTACAAGGTTAGCTGCTGCTGCTTTTTCTTATAAACGAATTCCAGTGAAGGGTGCTGTTTCCAGTGAAGGCTGTGGAATAAACAGCCTTCGTTCAACACAACATCTCATTGCTTAAAAACAACAACAACAAAAACTTATTCCAGCAGGAGTAAAAATGCAATTTAGTGGTATGTTAGTGTGCTGTGAAGAGGCATGCTTTATGCTGTATTAGCCTGTACTGGTGAAATTTGTTACTATCTAATCAGTATTAATTTAAAGTTCAGTTGTCGTGTGCCAGATTTCTCAACTTTGATTTTGATGTTTTTTTTTGTGAAGCTGGTCTGGTTGTAGAAATCCATCAAATGTCATGATACAGAGAGAGAAACCCATACATATTCGGATCTCCAACTTACACTTCAGTCCTCTGCAGTAAATTGTCCCTCTGTTATGCTGATCTGTTCAGTATTTCTTGTAGCTGGTGTAGGGTGTACTCAACAAAAGATTTATAGGCTTGGCAGTGCATAGACTACTGAATGAGGTAAAGGAAATAGGAGTGGGTACAGTCACATTAAGCACAAGGTAATATAAGCTTAGTGGTACAATGGGCAGTTTTGCATTGTTTGTCTTGTGAATAACGTGCCAACTGACCTGATAATGCTGTTTAAATAAATATTGAAATGATAATAAAATGGTTGTCATTGAGTTCCTAAATGCAGTTATCTATTTTTAGGTGGGAGTGCAGATTTTTACTAAAAGACCTTTGGAAGAGCAAGAGAAAAACAACATTAATCCAGATGATATCATCAGTTGCCTTAACAAATATCCTAAAGCGCTTATTAAGTATCTAGAACATCTTGTATTGGAAAGAAAAATAGAGGTGAGTCCTACAGCAATACCAAAAGTAGTATGTCCATGATCTATATTCTGTCTTTTTTTCATCTTTTTCAACTCTCACAATGGCAAAACAATCGCTTACGTTTGCATCTGATTGTTGCATGTTTCTCTGTGTCACTGCTAAGGCTCATTCCACAAACAGTGATTTAGGATTTTGAGATGAAAATTTCCTTGGTATGTTTGCTACTATTCAGTATAGCATTCGTTTAGACCAAACAGTACATCTTGGAAGGGTTGTAAACACACAAAACTTTGAGATACCTGCAAAGTACACAGGAGAAGGTGAAACAAGGATATGTTCAGTCTGTCAAAGTTGACTGCATATCAATTGCTGGAAAACTTTATTTTTTTTTCCCATTGAGTGCCAATTGTCATTTTCAAACATACTGTCATATAGATATTTAGATACATTTTATCTTGTCCTTTTGGTGAGATCTTCAGAAGTGATAGAATTAAAATATGCACCTCTAACTGTAGAATTCCAAGCATCTCTAAATGTTGATGCCCCAAAAAATGTGTTCATTAGTCAGAAGTGACAGTGTAGACAGTATATTCTTTTTTTTTAAGCAAGAAAATGTTATGGTACTTGGATATGAGGCGTTTTAGACACAGAAGAAATTGCAATTGCTTTAGCCTGAAAACGATGAAAAGAAATGAACACTGAAGAAATTCAATAGACCAGTTAATGAATTTACATTCTTAAAACATACATGCCAAACAATGGTTTCTCTCTGCTGTTGTTTCAGATAAAGTGTATGACACTGACCAGTGAATGTACTAGTTTCTTATGTCATGCATAGTTTCAAGTAAACTTCTAAAGTTAGTTTTGTAGAATATTTTTAGCAAAATTAATTTATAACTAAATCTACTCTGCCTGTTAATAAGTACTGAGTTATACATTTATTTGTTCTTCAGAACGTACTTGATTATTGTGACTGCTGTAGTGAGAATGTTTCAAACAGTAGTCAAGCTATCAGCTTGTATCGATGACTATGACATGATGAATAACACCTACCTCTGGCTTTTTCAGATTTTACTGCAGAAATGGAAAAGTTGAAAGAACATACTTAAATATAGAGAAAACTGTGTGAGGTCAAAATTAGACTTTTACTAGAGAAATAAGAGGAGAAGACTACGTAAAACATGCTTGTAGTCAAAGGGGAGAAATCTCTTTTAATGCAATGGTTGGACTTCTGAAAGGAAATAATTTTTGCACAAAAAAAAAAAAAAAACACAGTTGAGCTTGTCTATTTAAGGTAAAGATGAGCTTACAAATAAGATGTCGTGTTTTTTCAGAAATATCTGCATTGTTGAGATAGAGAACCCATAGCTGTAGGTATAGCATATCCTATCTTGTGAAGCTGGTCTGAATAAGTTCACTATATGTGTGAACAAAAGATTTCTGAATAATTGGAATTAAATGAATGAACTTAAACAACTTTATAGAATTACGTAAATATTAATTGAAATGTTATTGGTGGGGAGAAGAGATTGTCTTTGTAAACTTGAGCTAACGTTGTTTATTTCATTTGTAGAAAGAAAAGTACCATACTCATCTAGCTGCCTTGTATTTGGAGGCAATACTGAAGCTAAAATCTGGGACCACAGATAACTGTGTGGAAACAATTGAACTGCTGTTGAAACTACGCAGCCTTCTTCAGAAATCTGATCTTTATAGAATTCACTTTATTTTGGGTAAGATGCATTTCTCTATAATTTTGCTTTCTGCTAGAACTGACATACTGTATTTACTAAGTCCTCATAAAGATAGAAAGTGAAAATAGTTGAAGTATCATAGAACCAACGTGATGGTTTGAGTTGGAAGGGACCTTTAAGATCACCTGGTTCCACCGCCTCTGCTAAAGGCAGGGATGCCTACCACTGGACTGGATTACCCAAAGCCCATCCAGCCTGGCCTTGCATGCATCCACAACATGTTCCAGTGTCTCACCACCCTCACAGTACTTCTTCCTAATATCTAGGTCTATTTGCTTGATGCTTGTCCTTTTCAGACACAAAGCTGATTCAGCAAAGGCCTTTGATCTTGGGGTTTGTGAAATAGAATGGTACGTATGCACCAAGCATAAATCAGGATGACTAGACAGGAAAAGTATCTTCATACAATACCTTACTTTATTTTTAGGTTTTTTTTGATGAAAAACATGTAACTCGTGAAAGTCTTTTGTAAATGGAAGAATTACAATCTTATTTGTTAAATAGTCTGTTCTTCAATTATTGTGAATCAAAGCAAATCTTTGTAGAGATTTCTAAGGACTTCTGTTGCATGTAAAAAATTCATGGTTTCATGCTAGTCAGGAAAAAAGAAGAGGATCCTCACTTTTAGTAAAAAGAACAACGTATATCTTAGTATAATTGTAAGAAAAGTGACAATTGAGCTAAAATGTTTCCTTGGCCAGTGCTGTTCTGGCCATTTTTTAATGTACCTCCCAAGAATGAAAGGGAAATCACTTGTTCTTATACTTCAAGATGTGAAATATTTTCTGAAATTTGATGAAAAAAATCGACTGGGTGTAGAAGTAAAAATTGATGAGTAACAGCTAAAATAACAATATTTACTGTCCTCTTAACTTTCCAGTCAGCAAAACATTGTATGACAAGTAATATACAAGCACAATACAGTCAGTGAAAAGCTTTTATTTTTAACCTAATTTGTAAGAGCAAGATTTACAAGGTGGATTATTCTCTTGGAGCCAACGTACTCCAAAATGCAGGATTTCTTGCTTGAAAGATTTTTTTTTTTTTTTTTCATGAAGATGAGGTCACTGCAATGCTGGTATTGTTCCTCCTTGATAACCAAAATATTCTGTGGGGAAAAAAGTACTTTGTTAACTTTTACAATTAGGCTGCCAGACTGGATTAAGGGTTTATAGTGTCCTTTTCTTGAAAGAGAACATATTTGATTGCTAGTGTCTCTTGTAGACTTTAAACTGTTGTCCTGGAATTTTTTTGAGGCTTAGATTTTCTTCTTGGTTTGAGTTTGGGTTTTTGGGTTGGTTTTTTTTTTGAGATAAAATAAGAGAAAAAGAAAAGGACAGTAGTTATGACTGTGTGTGTGTGTGCCTATATATGAATGTATATAACAAGTGATGCACAAGCAATTGCTCACCATGCCTGACCAATGCCCAGCTAGCTCCACAGCAAGCAGAAGAGAGAGATGCGCTCCCACACCCTTCAGGACTCTTTCTGCATGGTGCCATATGGTGTGGAATATCACTTTGGCCAGTTAAAGTCAGCCCAAGTCCTGATTCTGTTTCCTCCCAGACCAATTGCTGAGAAACTGGAATGGCCTTGGCTCTGTACAATACTGCTGTACAACAGCAATAAACACTGGTGTGTAATCAGCAGTGTTTTTCACCTAGAACCAAAACATATCCTACCAGACACTCTGAAGAAAACAATTCCATCTCAGTTGAAACTAAGGCAACTATCTGTTTTTCTGTGTAATATTTGATGTGAGCAGAGCTTAAAGATATGATAAACTCTGAGATGAAACTACAATATGTGGTAGTGTAGGCAGGAATGTGCAAAACTTACCTGCTAGAATTTTAAATGATCATACTCTTAGTTTTATCACTTGTTGCTTAGTAATTTCTTCTTCCTTATTTTGTGGTGCACTTGTTTCTGTATATCTGTGCATTCTTGTACTTAGAAGTATCTGTATAGAGCTGCCTGCTTTTCTGCAAAATGAGTGGAAATTGAGCTCTGTGGACTTGTTGAATTGAACTGGGAAGAGAAAGTAGCAGTCTTCTCCACTGAGCAAACATTACCTGGTTTCTCATTTAACAGACAAAATCCGTGGCACAGATCTTCACATGGAAAGTGCAATTTTATATGGAAAACTAGAAGAACACGAGAAGGCTTTGCATATCCTTGTCCATGAGTTAAAGGATTTCCGTGCTGCTGAAGAATACTGTATATGGAACTCTGAGAACAGAGATCTGCAGTACAGACGGAGGCTCTTCCATATGCTGCTGTCAGTATATCTGAACCCAGACACGTCAGACTGTGCACTGGTCATGGCTGCTGTAGATCTCTTGAATAACCATGCAGCTGAGTTTGATGCAGCTCTGGTTTTGCAGCTGGTGCCTGACAGCTGGTCAGTGCAGCTCCTCTCCCCGTTCCTGGCCGGAGCAGTGAGGCAAAGCATTCATACAAAAAGAATGACTCAGGTTGCACTTGGGTTAGCACAAGCTGAAAACTTGATCTACAAATATGAGAAGGTAGGGTTTTATGTTTTGTTTTTAATAGAGGCACTTTGAAGTTGTATTCTGAATCTGAGGATTTAATTATATTCAGACACTTTAAGAGTTAGGTCAAAGTTAACTTCAGGTCCTTGGCAATCTTAATTGCTGCATTTATTACATTTTTGTGATGGCTACTACAGTCAATTTTACGCTTCTATAAAAGAAAAGGGGGGGGTGAGGCTTTGCAAAAAGAATAACTTTGAACTTGTGGGCTGAACGGACATACATTTGGGATTTCCAGATTAATGAATTTCTTCTAGAACTTTTAACAATTAAGCTTGTTTGGGTTTTTTTGCTTGCCAGTAATTGCAATAGAGTTTGCACAACATTTGGCATTAAAGCTTATTAATAGCTTTTGATTTTGTTAAATCCACTTATGGAGTACTTTATTTCTAGCTGTAGAGCAGTTTTACTTAAAGTTTTCCTGGGTATGATTAAATCTGTTTCCTTCTAATGGAAGTTTATCCAGCAGAATTTGTCTGCAATAAGAACTTGACAATACTCTGTTTGCTGGGAGTCATTCTTGTTTAGGAAGCTGTACCGAGTTTTTAGTTGCATTACATGTGAGTGTCATTCAATGTGAGGCACAGGTATAAGCTAGTATGAATACAGAGACTGAATTTCACATTAAATATAAATAGTTCAAGCTGCCTTTGCCATCAGTTTGGTACATATCAGAGTGGTACATTTGAAATGACACAGGTGTAACCAATGAAGTGTTGCTTTTTTTCTGCTGCATCTTAATTTGACTTCATTCATTGCTAGATTCACACTTGGATTTTTTTGTTTTTCCTCCTTAGGTCAAACATAAAGGAACTCCAATTCTCCTTTCGGACAAAAAGGTCTGTCAGGTGTGCCAAAATCCTTTCTGTGAGCCTGCATTTGTAAGATACCCAAATGGAGGTATGGTCCACACACACTGTGCTGCAAACAGACATCTGAACTCAAATGTGACTCCTCACTCTTCCAGCTCCAGCAGTGAGACTTGAAATATGCTCTAGATCCCAGAGGTTCCCATGGCTTATATCACACTGAAAACGGACTGGAAAAAATAAAATACAAGTGCAGCTACTTTAAGCATAAATGAAGATGAACATATAGTCATTGGGTTAATGGGAGGACTTCAGCAGATATAAAATATGGCCAATTGCCTTCTCAGTTTCTAATGAATGTAAATAGAGGAAAAAAATTCACTACCAGAAATGGAGAGGTGCAAATATAGACTTCTGTATATAGTAATAAGCAGTCAAAGAAAGTGAGCCTTTTTTTCCACAGCAAGGATGAACGTTACGGAGACAAGGTAAACCGTTATTTTCAGAAATGTCACTTTGCACTGAATGTGGTGTTGATAAATTTGTAGAGGTGGAGATGGTATCTGTTGGAGTAGGAATTCTTGGAGCATTATACAACAAGACTGGCATCGTGCAGCTGACTATCGGGACAAATACACACTTTGCTTATGATGTTTGCTGCAGCACGTCCTCTTTTGGGCTGGATTCTCTTCCCCAGGATCACATAATGAACATGTTCTTTGCTCTACAAGTTGTTGGCTTTTGCACTTTTTCGTACTCTTATTTCCTTTCCCTCTTTTCTGCTGTATAAAATTTAAACTTAAGCATTAGCCTGTTAATTTTCTGCTCCTATGGTTACTGTCGTAAACTGAGTGGAAACTGATAGCCTTGGACACACAGCTGTGCTTGGATGAAGAGATGAAGTCAGATTATCTGGTCAGACTGTAGTCACTTTTTTTATGGGGGAAGAAACTTTTAATATTGATTTATTTATTAATATGCAAATATACTGTACATACAGTTGAATAAATTTATCTTATATCATCATAGGGGTTCCTTGGAGGATAAAGGACGTAGCTGATGCAGAAGTGTGTAGGTTACGTGCTTAAATGTTTGTTATAATTTAAGCAGACTGAAACTCAACACGAATAGGTATTAATAATACCTGTGGGTGACTTTGTGCAATCAAGTTCATGGAAAAGTGGCATAACTGGGAAGAAATCTACAAAGGTGCACTACAGAGATATTGAGATATTTGTTGCGTTCTACAAAATGTTCTGTAAACTAAAGCTTTTCAGACAGCAACAAAACTTGTACTGAATTGCCATGATAAATCATTCATCCATTTTAAAGCAGTTGATGGGCAGCTTCCCCCAAGAGAGGCTCAAAAACAATGACTCAAATAAAATAGTATTTCAAAGTGAAAGCATTTCTTTTAATTTTGTAAAGTTAATAAATACTAAGCTTAGTGAACAGCATGTAGCTGAGAGTGCCTGTAGGCTGCTTACTGCTTTAGTGTTCCAAATCAGAGTTGAGACTGTCAGCAGAGCAGGTTATTTGCATGGTATCTTCTGGATATGGTCTCAGAAGAGATCTCCTGTTACAGAAATGTTGGCTTATAGAGCAGCTTTTTCAATGCTGTTGCAGTCCAGAGTTGGGCAACCAGATTACATCCTTGGGGTGGGGGGGGGGAAATATCCATTTCTTTGTCTTGGAAGTAAAAGTCCTTTGGATTTTTCTTTTTCCTGAGTGTGAAATCAAAAAAGCATAGCTGTTGTACTGAGTTTAAAGAAAATAATTAAGTTTTGCAGCTCCCTCTGCCCAGATGTGAAAGACAAACTTAATGAAAAGCACCTTCCAAAAGGCATTCAATCTCATTTCTGAGCTGTGGTACGAGTGATTCTCCTGTAGCCTTGGTATGAGCAGGTTCTGTGTCTCATATTCCTGATTTTTGAACAACCTGTGTACAAACAGCAATGACAAATTTCTAGTTCTGTGTCATCAGAGTAGTTGCTGGTAGAGGCAGAGGCTTTAGAAAGACTGGAGAAACCTGCTCTGTTCTTTGGCACGCCATTCATAGATACTTCCTTTTGCTGTCAGCATCCTCAGTGTGCTCTGTTTCCATCTAATAGGGAGGTAATAAAGCAGACATCACTCTTCGTGGTTAAGACATTCAGGCCATGAGGTAGTGATGAACTCTGTCAACTCGTGTTGCAATGAAATTGAGATCATATTATTCAGATCACAAGAAAATTATTAATTATTGTGTGAAAAAATACATCTGTAAAAGATGAAAAGAGATTAATATAGATTTTCTTCAGGTTTTTACTTTTGATTTAAAATATAGCAGAAACAAATTCTACATACAAAAGAAATACATGAATAGGAGCAATTATAAAGTAGCAGATTTGCAATCACAGATGACCAGCAAGGCAGTTAATGTTTAATTTGGGAGATTGGATCTTTTCAGCTCTCCAGGAACATGGAATAGAAAAACACTAACATTTGTTTATATGTTTTCACCTCTTTTTTTTCTTATGTTTTTCAGTCAAATTGTATGCTACAACTCGTGTGGATGAGTTAATGTGTAAGTCCCTCAATAGCAAAATGAAAAAAGCAAAGTAAGAGTGTGAGGCTGAGGTAGGGCCTAGGAGGGAGATGGCAGGTGAAAGATGCTGTTGCAGTGTGTGTACAGCACTTCAGCAGCTGGGATAACGCTCAACCAGAGGAGATGGTAGCCTGTGTCAGAGTGGTGCGTGTTATTCTCTATTTTGTAGTCAGGAAATAGATGAAAGGTGTCTGCACTGAAGTGCCCTTTTGCAGGGCAACCACTACACCTCTCAGGCTCTGGGAGATTAAGCTTGATGCCATCTTTAGGAGTTCTTAGACCTGCCCTTGGAGAAGAGAGATTCAATCAGAATATTTTTTTTTCTTAATGTAGGTCTCCATAAAATATTTCTAGTTTTTCATTTTAACCTTTTTTGGTTGTTGTTTTTTGGCCAGCAAGTGTCCTCAATTTTTATGTTGAGATCCAAACAGCAGTGCAGATACTTGTTTTAATGCCACTGGGTGTCTGTGATTCAGGGTGCTACAGCTGAGGTTAGTTTCTCATACAGATGCTTCTACAGATAAGCACATCTACCACGTAATTTCTAATTACAGAAGTGCTGCACTTCTGACCTTTTTAGTCATCTTCTGTCACGGTGGCTGACGCATACAGAAAGGACTTGTTAACCCACTTTCTATTCTTTCATGCTTTCATATATTCATTCTTCGGCTCATAAAAATTACCTATAATTTTTATGTCATCATGTGATGTTTTTTCCCTCCCTAAGGCAGAAAGAAGGGAAAAAAAAAGAGGAAAAAAAGCCACCCGTAATCTGATGCTCTGTTCAGATGAATAGCCACATGCTTATGACTACAGAGAATTTCAGATCTTAATTTCTATGATTTAAAGAGGAAAAATTATCATGTCAATAGTAGTACAAGAATAATGGGCTGTAAGTGTTGAGAAAACAAATTTTGTTATACAGAGCACATCACACATACCTATGGGCTGACTGCTTCAGGCAGCATTCTGGCTTTTGGGCTACAGGGGGAAATTGTATTTAGTGCCCACACTCCAACCTCCAAAAGCTCTAACTTGTGTCACAGTTCTAACACTAAATTGTTGTGGGTATAAGTCTGGATGTTCCTTAGCATCACTTAAGCACATCAACAACATGAAGCCCAAATAACATCAGCTGTGGAAAGGTGGTGGTACATATGTTTTGAGACCTCTATTAGATGTTGGAAAACGCAAGCATTATCCTAACTGTCTACTTAGTCTTTATTAAAAAAAAATCTCCTATTTGCAGGACTCCTATCCCAAATGACATTAAAAATATTATTTTCTACAGTTGTAAGAGGTAAATTCATTTTATTACTCTTCTCTATTTGCTTAGATCTAACTCTGCTGTAACCAGTACCTTTCTATTGAGTTGCCCTACTATTGCCTCTACTGTTCTTTTTTTCCTGCTGTACAAAACTTTAGAGCTTATGCCCTGTGAGCACTGATAATTAAATGTGCTGCTATTCTTAAAGGACAAAAGAAAGGTAATGATGTTCTTTAAAGTTTGATTATAAAACTAAGTCCCTTGCATTAAATTGGTCTGGAAATCTATACTGTTAATGCTTTCTGAATTAATGATTATGTTGGTGAACATGTACAGCAGTATGTGAGATGTACAAATGTATAAATATGTTAATTTGTAATAAAAATTCTTTTAATTACACTTGTATCCATGAATGAATAACGTAGGTAATGGGATGTGAATGGCCAAGTGAAGGACAAGGTTTCTTCAGTTACGAACTCATTCGGTGTCTGACAGACAAAAGTGGTCAAATAGAAGGGCTGAATTCAGCACCTACAGGGTGTTCATGAAGACAAATGGGTGTTCTTTAGCACTGGTAGATACTACTGAATCTGGATGTTTTCACATATTCCAGTGAAAGTAGCTACTGCCGTTAAAGATTTGGGAAGTCTGAATGTGCTCTATGGAGCCCAAGTCATCTCTTCTGTGATTTAAGTCCATGGTTACACTAGTGGATATGTGGGCAGGGATAGGCTGTCTCTTCTCTGATTTTCAGCTACTTTGGACCTGCTGCCTAGGCAATTTTCTGGCCTTCACTGGATACCTACACTCTTGTGTTGTCCTTCTTTTTTTTCTTTTTTTTTCTCCTTGTTCAAGCTTTTGGGGGAGTATCCTGTCTCTTTTTTTGTGAGCTCAGCTCCATCTCCTTGGAGCATCTTGGTGCTCATGAAGCAGAGGATAGAGTAGGCAGCAGGCTGGGTGAAGTTCTGTTAGGGAACGTGGTCCTAGTGATGCTGTGGGTTTCTGTGGGATGCTGAAGACAAGCTGTACACCATGTAACTGGTGGAAATACCATTAACTGACTTTACTGAAAGGGTTTGTTTGCACTCATTTGGCAAGGTTCCTGCAGGCTCATCAGGCTTGGCTTATTTGTTTGGCTGAAGCAAAGGCTTTGGGGTATGTTGGGGGGAGTCCTCAGGGTCCTCTTACAGAGGGTGTTTGAGATGCAGAGATTGGAATACAGCGTGATGCTGGAAGGATTATAAAGTATAAAATCATTAAGACTGGAAAGGATGTCTCATCATTTAGTCCAACCGCCAACCCACCCCACCATGCCCCTGACCACGTCCCTCAGTGCCACGTCCACACAGTTCTTGAACAGCTCCAGGGATGGTAACTGCACCACCTCCCTGGGCAGCCTGTGCCACTGCCTCACTGCTCCTTCTGAGAAGAAATTGTAAATTGTTCCTAATATCCAACCTGAACCTTCCCTGGTGCAACTTAAGGCCATTACCTCATTGCATTACTCTGCAACAAAAATGGCAAATGCAAAAAGGCAGCTTGGAAAAAAAAAAAAAAAGGCAAAAATAATCAATTGTGGCTTTTGCGCAGTGAAAGTTCAGACTGTTTTGCTTCTAGACAGTGGAAAAAAGTCCACGCTAATCACCCAGATGGCAGCTCCTTCCAAGGCAATCGATAGATCATCACTGTTCTGGCAGCAATGGGCCCCAGGGGCTCAGTCCAAAACCAGCAGCCATAGCTGCAGGACACCACAAGGTCAGAAGGCCAGAGCTGCCAATGGGACGCTGATGGCTGAACACCAGCAGGTTTTCAGTAGGTAATGAGGCTCATGATAACAGTGCCTCAAAAGCTAACAGCAGTCAGGACCAATGCTATCACTGCCAGTAACACCCTGAAGGCACTGCCTTGTCTATGCGTAGCTGACTGTCTCTGCTGTGTTAAAATCAGAAAAACTTGGGCTGTTTGGGTTCTCCAGATACGGTACAGCCCAAGCCTGACTCAAAGCAGGGTCAGCCTGGGTTGGGTTGGCTGTATGGTTTCAGGCCATTGCTGACAAGATAGAACCTAGAGTGGGATCAGCTCTTTTCCTGAGGAAAGAAATGCTTAAGTATCCAAAAGAGTCTGTGGCACCTAAACAGCTAAAAGGTGCCTCTGCTTTTAAGGGATGTTTTTTATTTTTCAGGTAACACAGAAGAATTCAATAAAGGCAATTTCTGGAAAATAACAAGGCTCTTTGAGATTTGCAGGAAGTATAGCTGCCAGCAGCTTTAGGAGCATAAGTTTGGTGCTACTTTGACCTGGAAGGGGCGTATTCAAGTAACACATAAGTTCTTTGCCTCTATCTGAAAGTCACAGGCTGCAATCTCTTCAGCATACAATGTGGCTCAGGAGTGTCCTGCTAGAAGCTGCCAGAGTTTGACACAGGTATGGATTTTTCTGCTTGAACCTCAAGCAACTGAAGATGGGACGAAGGCAGGATGTACTTATATTTGCTTTTAATAAAAAATGTTCTGTACAGGAGGTTTGCATTGGCAAAGGGGAAAAAGAATTTCAGTACTTAGTGAAAAGTTTTAACTTTTCAAATCTCATTTCAGAGTATTTCTGTGGCCTATCTTGACGTACTGATTTGTCAGGGAGTCGGTTTAGTGTTCCTCCTTCCAAACCTCCTGAAAACTCTTGTTCTGGATAGCTGCCTCTAGGTCCTCCAGTGACCATGATGTGATAGGAGCAGAAATTGTTCTGATAGTAGTTTTCATTTTGCAATGTTAAATGGCCTACAAACGTGATGGTTGAATACAAAAGATACCAACTAGATGAATCTCAGTGCGGGAGGAGGGAGAAACTCATTTAGCTGCAATTAATTGTTAATGCCTTGCTGTCCTACACTTGTGTTTTTTCTGCCTGTCTGATATCAAGCTGCTTAAATCACAGAATCACAGAATGGTTTGGGTTGGAAGGGACCTCACAGCCCACCCAGCCCCACCCCTTGCTGTGGGCAGGGCTGCCCCCCACCAGCTCAGCTGCCCAGGGCCCCATCCAACCTGGCCGTGAGTGCTCCCAGTGATGGGGCACCACAGCTTCTCTGGGCAGCTGTGCCAGCGCCTCACCGCCCTCTGAGTGAAGAATTTCCTCCTAGCATCTAACCTAAACCTGCCCTCTGTTAGTTTAAAACCATTCCCTCTTGCCCTATCACTACTGGATGGTTTAAAAGGTCAGTTCCCCCTCCTGCCTGTGAGTTCCCTTCAAGTACTAAACGGCTGCAATCAGGTCTCCCCAGACCCTTCTCTTCTCCAAGCTAAACAAGCCCAGTTCCCTCAACCTTTCCTCAAAGGAGAGGTGCTCCAGCCTTCTGACCATCTTAGTATCCCTCCTCTGGACACACTCCAAGAGCACAGTGGAATGCTATCAAGGGTCTTCTTTCCTTCTCCACTCCTCGCCCTGGCTCAT